GTGCATGTGTCCAATCTGCCCTTGGCCCTGACCAGTGATGATTTGTACTGGGCATTTTCAAAGTATAGCAAAGTTCTAAAGGTTACTGTAATGCAAGATAAAGATACCAGGAAGAGTAAAGGGGTTGTGTTCATTTTACCTTTGAATAAAGACTGTACACAACTGGACAAGGACCGTAAATGGCAGTTCGTTGGTAGAGTGACAGACGCAAACGGTGCTGCCGGCGATGGAGGAGCAGCTAGGTTCATCCAGGGGCGAAACTGACTCAATGAACCTAAATTTTTTATGGATGCAGGGAAAATGGATGCAGGGAAAATGGATACCTGGGTTATGCCTGTCCTAAAGTATGCCCGGTGTACATGAACCTACGGAGATGAAAGAAGAAACAAAATAAAAAGAAAATTTCTGAACCAAGAGAAGTAATTGAAGGAGTCGAACTATGGGAAGTGGGAGCAGAAGAGGCTGTTCTGAGAGGCTCAGTCTGGCCCCAGTTTTCCAGCAAGCCAGACTGAAGAACAGAATGGCTGGCAGCCCAGCTCAGAGTGTCCCTCCACAGCAGGGGAGTCAGGACCCCCGAGCATAAAGAAAAGTGTGTATTTCAGGGATGATGGAGAACTTGGTAATTAAAATTGTACTTATATAAATATTATTAAAGTATATATTGTTAGATCTTGAATTACCAATTACAAAGATGACTCCTAGAATTTGAACATTAGACCACTTCACTTAGGACCAAATGGCTTTTACTGTAAAATAATTCATAGGGAATTGGAAAATAATGTTGAAGTATCACGTCACCCTCTTTTTTTTTTAAGGATTTATTTATTTATGCGTATAAGAGTTGGGGTACAGGCCATAGATGTCGGGGGTGAGAGGAGTCACCAGAGACAGAGTGGGGATCAGAACAGGCAGATTGACCCAAATACACTGCCGAGTTGAGCAGCGGGCAGACAGGCAAGGTCTGCTGTGCCATGTGGATTGCTCCCTGGCCGGCCGGGGATCAAACTCGTGCTGCAGAGGCTGTGGACAGCTTCATAGTGTGGTGCTTAACTCCTTGAGCCTCCAGGGAGGCCCCATGTCACCCTCTTGCCTTAGCAGAGTGATAAAAAAAAAATCAGGATTTGCTCAGAACCTTTAATCTTAAAGACAGTTTTATTTGACTAAAAAGAATATACTATCACAGTTATGCTGTTGTCATCCCCCCCAAAGACATTAAAAAGATGTGTTTGAGAAGTTCATTATAAAAGGTTACTTGTGTCTGATTGGTTTACACGAGGACTTGTGAAATCAGTTGCACCTTTAGAACAGAAGTTTCATAAAGACTGTGAAAAAGTTGATCTGTTTTTATTAAATATTAATATTTCTAGGAGAGTATTTTTTATTTAAATAAATATCTATACATTCTGTGTCCCTGTCTTCATCTTCCATTTGCTCCTGACCTTCTCCAACCTGGTTTTCCTTCTCCCTTTTCTGCTGAACAGGGAGACCATGTGCCTACTTTCCAAACCTTAGTCATTCACATGCCAGTTTCAAGGTTTTTGACATTTTGCTCTATCATTGGTCGTAATTCATATGTGTTTTCAGCTGATTTAACAATAACATCTGGGGAATCAAGGATTTTATGTTTCAGACTGCACCTCCATTTATTTATTTATTTATAATAGTGGAGGCAAGATTTTTTTTTAAAAAGATTTATTTATTTATTTATACAAGCTCTGTGTACAGTCAGCAGTGCAGGAGGGTGAGAGAATTCACAGAGTCAGAGCGGGGAGCAGAACAGTCAGACAGACGAAGTGCACTGCTGAGGGGAGCAGCGGGCAGCAGGAGAGGTCTGCGCACCATGTGGGACCCTCACCCGGTGGCCGGGGATCGAACCAGCGTTGCAGAGGCTGCGGGCAGCTTTGCAACCCAGTACTGAACTGTTCGCCAATGGGGAGGCCCTGCATCTCCATTTAGAACAAAACAATCACATAATTAATAAAGTGGAAAGTGTCTTACTGTATACTCTTTGAAATTCATTATGACTCGTCAGTATGTAAGTACCACTTACAAGAAAAGCTCTTGTATGCCATCCTTAAAGTCACCTTTACTTAGCCAGCATAGTTTGACATCATATTTACCTTATTTAATGATGTTTTATTTTGGCTAAGATTAAAAGGAATTTGTATTTCCTGAGCATGCACCAGTTGAAGACATCAAAGATGTTATGGGAAGCTTGCAGCTAGGCTGTAATTAAAATTTTGTTTTGTGTAATAGAAAAGATGTAAAATCCATCTGTGAATAAGAAAGGAATGTAGTTTGCCAAGGTGTACCTGGTTCTTTATGTTTGCCTTTTGTTAACATTTATGTTTTCAGCTTTGCCCTTATTGATGTCTATGTGTGAATGGGATTGATCAGTTCTATTTAGCATTAACCCTTTGAATGTGGAGACTGCTGGTGGAGACCCTGAGTCCATCCTCAGTCTGTACAAATGATGAACCATTGAATAGAGCATACACCCGGAGACAGCTCACCTGCGCATATGATGGCACATACTTGTCTTATTCCATACACAAATCTCCCATACACAAAATGTGAAAGTTGCTTTTCAATACAATGATAGATGACTGATTATCTGGTTTCTTATTCCTTGCTCTTTGTTTTTGTGATCTACACCGATTCACTATGCAGGCAATATAGTTAGGTTGGGACCTTGGTAATAGAACAGATCAAAGTTAATTGGACTGCATGGGAATTGAAGACCAGTGCTGACCTCATTAGCACAATGATACAGTTAGCTGAGGTTGCAGATTCCACACTCACAGAAACACTCAAAGGAAAAATTTGTTTCAAAGGAAAGTTGGAGGTATGGTTAATACACAAGTCAGCTTTGTAGGTAGATGATTAAAGAGAGAAGTATAAAAATATCAGAGATCATATCAGAAAGCTGAATCGTTAGCTTTGAATATTTCTTTTACTTGTTTCCCAACTTTGGTGTTCAGAGGTAGAAAAATGCTTCAGAAAAGAGGGTTAATTCATCATGGCATTATTAGTAGACATTTCATCCAGAATTGCACAGTAAAGTATTAGAACTTAGTCACTCTACAAGCTTCACTAATTGATGCTAATTGTACTAGTGCTGGTCACCGTATACTGAGAATGGACATTCAGGTGTATAGCCCAACTGTTGGGAACTTAACAGACTCACTTCTTTAGTGAGTAACATGATAATCCAACTACTGTTGTTTGCCATGGATATTTAACCAAAAAGACTAACTTCAGTGGGTTAAGATTTCCAAAGTAGGCTGTTGTGCAGTGAAGGCGATCTTATTCAGGAACAGGATACAAGTGCAAACAACTCTGGAATTTGACCACATTTGTTGTCACAAGAAATAGCATTAGTGCAGATTCATAAAAGACAGTTCTCTATAGAATTCCATTTTTCCTGTTTAAAGGTGGAGAATGTAAGTCCCCCACCCTTTTCAAATTAGTTAAAGCTCCTCCGTTACATTAGTTATGGATTTACAAGCATCTATTAACCAGGTGAACAGTCATGATGTTAACACATGTAATGCTGTGGTAACTATACCAGCAAACCATCAAAATTGTAGTGGCTTTGCTCTGTTGGCAGCTCAACTTTCCAGGCTGTTTGTAACACCCCCATCTCCACAAATACTTTCACAGTTGCCACTGCACGAGGAGAAACATGGCAATCATAGGCCATCTCTTCATCGTTTCTCTCTGAAATTAAGACACATCACTTTCTATTTCATTGGCCAAACAAGTTACTTTTAAGTGATAAGGAGATATAAGTCCTTTGGTGAAAATAACCTTTATTTTTTCCCATAAATACCTTTTAAAAAAATTTTTGTGTAGAACTGGGGTATAGGAAAGAGGTACAGAGGATGAGAGGATTCACCAGAGACAGAGTGGGGAGCCGAGCAGACAGAATGACTGAAATACACTGCTGAGGGGAGCAGTGGGAGAGACAGGAAGATCTGTTGTGCCATATGTAGTTTTGCTCCTTGGCTAGGGATCAAACTCAGACTGTAGTGGTGACAGTGCTGAGACTTACCCTTAGGCCACCAGGGAGGCCCCAGGAAATATAAACCCTTTGCATGTGCAGAATAGAAAGAGGTGAGTACCAGAAATACTGGTTGGCACTATTGATTTCTCTATTAAGCTTTATATCTTTTCTTGTCCTATTGCATTATCTGGGGCTTCCAGTACAATGTTGAATAGGAATGGTAAGTGGACATCCTCTTATTCCTGATCTTAGGGGGAAAACATCTAGCTTGTCTCCATTGAGTTAGGTGTTAGCTGTAGGTTTTTTGTAGATGTTCTTTGTCAAATTGAAGTGGGTTCCCGCTATTCCCATTTGTTGAACTTTATTTATCATGAATGGGTGTTGGGTTTTATCAAGTGCTTTTATGACATTTATTAATAAGAGCATATGATTTTTCTTAGCCTGCTCATGTGATGCATTATGGCAATAATTGATTTTTGAATGTGGAACCAGCTTTGCATAACTGGAATAAATCCCCCTAAGTCGTGGTGTGTAATTCTTTTTTTTTTTTTTAAAGATAATATTTTTTTATTTATACAAGAACCGGGGCACAGTCAGAAGCACAGGAGGGTGAGAGAATTCACGAGAGCCAGAGCGGGGAACAGAACAGGCAGACTGATGAAATAACACTGCTGAGGGGAGCAGCGGGTGTGGCAGGAGAATTCTACGCACCATGTGGGACCCTCGCTAGTGGCCGGGGATCGAACTGGCCCTGCAGAGGCTGTGGCAACTTTGCAGCCCAGCGCTCAACTGCTGCGCCACCAGGGGAGGCCCCATGGTGTGTAATTCTTCCTATACATTGTTAAATCCATTAATTATTAAGCTGTTGTTGAGGGTTTTGGATCTGCATTCATGAGAGATGTTGAACTATAGTTTTCCTTTCGTGTGAGGCTTTTGTCTGGCTTTGATACTAGGGTAGTGCTGACCTCACAATGAGTTGGGGAGAATCCTCCCTGCTTCTGTTTCCTGGAAGAGATATGAGAGAATTTCTTCCTTGAATATTTCACCAGTGTAACCACCTGGTGAGTATTTCACCAGCCTGATGCTTTCTGTTTTGGAATGTTAATAATTATTGATTCAATGACTTTAATAAAGATAAGCCTCAATTCATATTATTGATTTCTCCATGGGTGAATGTTGGTAGAATGTGTCTTTCAAGAAATTAGTCCATTTCATCTAAGTTATCAAATTAGGGGGATTTTATATTATAAAATACTATTTAATAACATTCCTTTACTATGCTTTTAATGTTGGTGGGATCAGCAGTGGTGGTGTCTCTCATTTCTCGAATTTGTCATTTGTGTGTCCTTTGGCTTTTTCTGCATCCGACTAGCAGTTTATGCGTTTTTGGTGGATCTTTTCCAAAGCTTTTGTTTTTGATTGATTTTGCATTATTGATTTTGATTGTTAATGATCTTTTGATTTTCTGTACTGTTTACCATTTTGTTCATTTCTGTTCTGGTTTCTATTTTTTTTTCCCTTCTGCTTGCTTTGGATTTATTTGCTGTTGGTTTTCTAGCACCCTAAAATGAAAGTTTAGGTTGTTCATTTTAGATCTTTCTTCTTTCCAAATAACTAGTAATTTCTATTTTGATGTGTGTGAGAATTATCATAAGTGCACCTTTCCTCATATTTTTTCAGGTCACAGGTAAACAAGAATACATGAGTGTTCTCTAAACCTTGGTCACTCCCTTGTCATCACATTGCGCCCTAGTCTTGGGGCATTTATGAAAATAGTTAATATTCTCAGCTAGCATCATTTTTAAATTTAAATTAAGATCCTTAGGATGAAGTCTTTAAACTACAACTGTAAGTAAAAACTAGAATGTCTTCACATAAACAGTAGTAGTCTTGAAAAACAGATATTTTTAAAAAGTATTAAAATGAAGACATTGGTTGGATATTATCTAAAGTCATCTCAAGTACTAGGAGCGATTTTTGTAGAACACTTTTGGAAACACTGAAATAATTATCAGTGAAGAAAAAAGAAAATGTATTCCAAAGTTATTTTCCAGTGGTTAAAAAACTTTAACTTAATTTTCTTGGGACTAACATATAGCAATGGAGGGTAAATGCTGACAGTGATTGCCTTGATGTGAAGACAAGGGGTATTAGTTCTGTAGAGAGACCTGGATTTAAGTGACCTGCTTTTCTACTTTCTTACTGCATTACACTGAAGTCAGAATGCTCATTGGTGTACACATGATTGTATTGTTAGAGATAAATGAAATAAATCAGTGTGCTTTTAAAATTGTCTTGTCCTGTGAGAATATGATGATGAACAGCTCTGCTTCTGTTATAATGGAGGTTTCAAGGTGTACTGTAGGTCAGTTATTTGCTTTCTTAGCAAGATTATTCAATTTTTTGACAGTTTTTTGACAGTTGCCCAGGCACAAGTTGAGTAGTCAATTGCCAAAGAAAATTAATATATAATTTTTTTAATCAAAAGCGGTATAGAAAGAATTTGGGAAAACGCTGCTAACCTGGAAAATTGTCTCTCTCTCTCTCTCTGAGATTTCCTTCAAGGTGAAAAGCCTTTTCTTCATGGGTGTCCACAGTTAGAAAATGGTAGTAAATTATATCGCTCTTTTGGTAAGCCAATATGGCCTTATCCATTTCTTTTTCTAGTTCTCAAATTTCTTTCATTTTTTAAATTTTATTGCCATGACTTTCTAAACAGTTATTTCAGAATTGCATATGAACAAGATGATAGACTGTCTTCTGCTACCATATGAGCAAACATTCCATAATGGTCAAATGTTTCATTCTCTAAGTAGTTGGAATAAAGAGCTAAGGGTAATTAAAGAATTGTTAGCCAAATGAAAGTACATTTGAAGATAAAAATTCCTTCTGAGATAAAGTTCCTTGAAATATTTAGTAAGGGTCCAGTTTCTGAAAGAGGTGCATTTGGGTAGTTATTTAATACAGAGGTCTTGGGAAGAGTTTGTCGTCATTGATGTAATGGGATTGGTCTTTGGACGGGAGGGCAGTCATCGTAATTTTTGAGCTTGCACTAGTGTCTATATTCTCAAGTATAAAAAAAAGAATAAATAAATTTATTATTATTTAACCACATAGACTCTCGAAGTGAGTAATAGACATAAGCTTGTCTATTAGGATAACTGAAGTTCTGAAATTATGCCTTAGTGAATACCTACTGTTTGAGCAAAACTAATAATGAAGAACGGGAGCCAGCCCCTGTGATATTTATGCAACTGCTAAACTCTTGCTGGAGTCAATGGGAGCTTGCTTACGTAAGGCTGCAAGCTTTAGCCCCTAGAGATTAAAGGGGGAAAAAAAATCCTTAAACTCTTTCAACATTAATATTGCCGGTAAGGAATCCAGGCATCATCTAAGCCCGGGAGCTTTTTGAACCTAGCAAGTAGAAGGGTAAACAATAAACACCAGTTATTTTAAGCACAATCTAATCAGAGTTCAATGAGAAGCAATATTATATTTGATCTCTAAGGTATTAATATGTGTATATCACTATTAGACATTTTTATGTGACCCATTAGCCAAACAATGATTTAAGACTGTGGCATAAATCAAGGTTCCATGGCCATGGAGCTGAGTGGGAGTGGGGACCTAGTGTCATCTCTCCATTTCCCCCCCCCCCCAGGTGCAATTCTGTGTTAATATAAGAGAAGTGTGGCCTTCCTTCTCATAGCACTAAAAGTGAGATAATCCCTGTGTAAGAAATCAGTAAGTACGGTCTGCTTAATCTAGTCCCAGTGTGAAACTGTTGACATTTGTTCTTTTTTCTATCATTATGTGACTGGGCCTGTTTTGTGCTGGATTAGGCACAAATCTCCTATGCAGCACATTTGGCATGTTACTAGTAGTTTAACTTCATTAATAATGTATGAAGAAAATGTAATCCACGACAAGGAAGGAAAGAAAAGTATTTTTTTTTTTTCTACTCTCAAATCCTTTGGAATGAGTAATTATTCAACATTTTATGTTTGATGTTATATTTTACAATTGAACTTCTATGGTGATATTTTAAAAGAGAAACTTTGGCAAATGCGTAAGAAACACACCTTTTAAAATTTTAAATGCAATTTGCTGATGGCCGGAATGGTTAAACATAGTAGGAGATTAAATATTTATTCAGCTTATTTCATTTTCAGGGTCATAAACGCTCTTTCAGTCATTCCCAATAACTAGAATTTCTACCAGCAAAGCCATTAACAGGCATCAGAGAGGGGCGTGCTAAATTAAGATGAAGTTGTATAAACAAATAAGAACACACGCAGACTTGCACAGGAGTGCAAACGATCGTTTCTGATTGAAATGTTTAAAGCTAAATGATTAGTTTGGCTGTATCCAACAGAAGCGCGCCAGAAGATAAGCCCCTAGCGACTGCTGCTTTTTGGTGTTTTCTGAACTGCTTTACTGATGAAAATGGAACTTATATTTGGAACAACATTTTCTGTTTTTCCATACTGTTGATATTTGTGGAAAGTCACAAAATGGCCTAAGGAAACTAAGGTCTCCCGCGCAGTGGTCACTTACAAGTACTTTTGTGCTCTGTTCTTTGGTCACATTTGGGCGATCAGAGCAACAGCTGGGGAGACTTTTTCAACAAAGATGAGTGTCAGATAATCCTGATGAGATTCCACATCCAACATCTTTTGTAATTATGTCACATTCAGCTGTAATGGAATAATTCAAGCTGAAAGGACAAGCTTTGATCCTTTCTTAAACCTTTCCCTGTGGACTGGCTATCTAAAAGATTTAAAGATATTTCTGTTACAAGATCTAGTGTTTCCTCAGAGAAGTCATGCTTCTGAAGCGTCGTGACCCACAAGAACAATATCAAGTTTGCCAAACACATTTCTGAAAGCGTCTTTTTTTTTGCAGGAATAGTGGTATTTTTAATGAAGATGTCAGTAAGATGCTGTTCTTCAGTCTTCGTCGGCACTATCCAGACTCATTGTCTTATTCTGTTATCCAAGTGGGCATAGAGAAAAGTGGTTTTGATATATTATGGAGATGTGTCATTGCACATTTAAAGCATCTATGTGCAAGTTCATGCAAGCGGTTATTAAATTATCTTCTAAGAGAAACTGGCTTTGTGGAGATACAAGATATGTTACGGAATTAAAAGATAAAAAGCCATTAAAATACAAGCAAGCTAAAGTCCCCAAGTTTTCATTCATGGGGAATTTTTTGTGCAAAATGTTTTTTTTGGGGGGAGGGGGCTGCATTTTACTAATGAAACTGACAGAAGTGGTTTTCAAATTCTAACATCAGGATTTTTGTTAATAATCACATTAAAATCACTTATTTTTACTTACCCTATTTTCAAGTAATCATCTTTATTTTTTGAATTTTTTATTCTCAAAATTCAGTTTTTTTTTAAAATCCATCTTTCTATACTTCCTTTTCCTTTCTAGTCTCATTTTTTTTGGGGGGTCTGAGAGTAAGGTAATGAAACAGGAAAAGAATGTGATAGAGAAGGAAAGATGCACCTTACTTTCACTTTGTCTCAAAGAAAATTATTACTGAAATGAAAATCAGTGCCAGAAAATAAGCTTTCTTTGAGTGTAATCTTAAAAAGCAAAACCATGATTCTTAAATCATAAAAATCTGAGTGCTCTTTGGCTTATTGTGCAAAGAAAAAGATAATGGATGAACACTTGCAAATAAAAATCAAAGTTTGATTTGGTAGGAAGGCAAAAAGGCAAGTCTGCAGGACGATGTGGTACCACAATTTTTGCCTGAGCCCAAAAGTAACCTTTTACTCATGTGATAAAGATCCTGTGAGAGTTCATCTTTTCCCACAGAGCATTTTTTTGTTCATGTTCTCATTAGGAAGAGAAGGTGACCTCTTTGCTAAATAAAACATGCAGTATCCTCTACACACATCTTGAGTGTTTTCCATGAAAACTGTGCCCATGAAGAAGAATTACAGGTTTTGTTTCATTCCATTTGGATCTTTATTGTGAATGTCTGCTTTAATCTTAATTTTCCCAACTCTGAATTATCACATGTCACCATTTTGTTGATGAGGAAA